CCTTACCCCCCCCCCCCCCTTTTTCCATTTCTTTCCGACAGCTATGCAGGAAAATTTAGATTTAAGTTAAACAAATCTAGCTGACATAAGTCAATAATTTCAACTGGATTTGAACCGTATCACAACTGAGAAACTAATAAACTTATGTGGATCACTATTGAATTCAAACAAACATAAAACCGTTCTTGAATGTTAAAATATGAAAAAGAACCAGTAATGTGTAATAAAGCATGAAAGCCACCAATAAATTCTTGAATTCCTTGCGCACAGGTCAAATTTATTTTTAAGTGTGTCATTTCTAAATTAAAAAATAAAATAAAATTAGTAGTACAGTTTTTAAGTAAACAAGTAGAGTTACAGGTAATTAACACTTTAAAGCCTAGTCAAAACATGATTTGAGACATATTGTTAATTCTGAGAACTGCTTTCGCAGCTGGAGGAGAAGAGGAAGATCAAAAAAGTAAAAAATCATTGCTGGTTATTGTATTGCCAACAGTGTTCGTAGCTATTCTCCTATCTGGAACAGCAATATGTTGCTTGAAGAGGAAAATAATCATGCCAAGAGGTAGCATCCAAATTTTTGCCAGTATTCTGTTTTACAACAAACTAAAAGTTTTAACTTTTAGGTTTTCCTTTTTAATTTCAAACAGTCAGAAGAGAAACCACTTCAGGGAAAAGAGTTGTGTATCCTAATCTCCAAGATCTCACTTTCAATGAGGTAAAAGCAGCCACAGATAACTTCGCATGTGAAAGCAAGCTAGGTGAAGGTGGATTTGGACCTGTATATAAGGTAAAATAGTGATCCATCCATCTCTTTATCCGCTAAAGCAAAATTCAGTATTGCATAGGAAAGTTTGAGGTTGCTTATTGATTTTAGATATTCAAACCTAAAAAGGAATATGAAAGAAGCAAAATACCATCTTAAAATAAGGAATATAAAAGAAAAAAAGAAACTCCTGAAGTGAAATAGTATATTCTTATTCAAATATAACAGTCCTATTTGAAACAGTAACTGTGTCATCATTTTGAATGAACTAATTATGCATGTGGTTTTCTAGGGTAAGTTGGGAGATGGACAAGAGGTAGCAGTAAAAAGACTTTCGCGAAGCTCAAAACAAGGGGCAGAGGAATTCAAAAATGAGGTTGCACTTGCAGCAAGATTACAACACGTCAACTTAGCGAAACTTCTGGGATTTTGCATTGAAGGGGAAGAAAAGATGCTGATATATGAGTACATGCCAAATAAGAGCTTGGACACATATCTATTCGGTCAGTAATCAATTGCACTTCCTACTGTGCTTGCGGAAGTAATGCTGAGGAAATGGTTTACATGACATATATATTCTGTTTCACAGAAAACAGTCCATTTAAACAAAACAGTTTTTCATTTAGAGTCAAAAAGTACAAATCATACTCTGATTATTGTAAAGAATCCTAACACAGCAAGTAGTTGCATCCCAACGTTCCATATCCCACTGGATATTAAGGCAACCAACCAGGAATAGAAATTTTTCATAGAAAATAATTGGGCTTCCTATGTTTCTTCTAAGGTATCAATTTATCACCATTTCTGACATCCCTGAAGAGAGTAACGTTACCATCAATTACCCCAACAGAAACAAGTTTGATCTCCAAAAAATTTGTCATCTGTATCTGATTGTGTATCTTGGAATATCAGAAAATGTCGTGTTTAGCTTATTTCATGAGAATAAGATATAATTTATTGTTCAACTTCATTTGATGTAGATCCAGTAAAGAGGTGGTTGTTAGATTGGGAGAAACGGGTTCAAATTATTGAAGGAGTCAGTCAAGGGCTTCTATATCTCCAGGAATACTCAATATACACAGTGATTCACAGAGATCTGAAGGCTAGCAATATTTTACTGGACATTTACATGAAGCCTAAAATATCAGATTTCGGAATTGCAAGAATTTTCCAGAGAGATGAAATTGAAGCAAATACACAGAAGATTGTCGGAACTTAGTAAGCCAAGCAATTCTAAAGCTCCCGTAAAAATATGATGTTACTTATATATGATGTTACTTTTACGTACTCAATTTTTTTTTCTTGCAACTCAGTGGTTATGTTCCTCCAGAATATGTCAAACGAGGTATGTACTCCAAAAAGTATGATGTTTTCAGTTTTGGCGTACTACTGCTACAAATCATAAGTGGCAAGAAGACATCAAATCTGTATGGTGTGGATAAAAATCTAACTATTTTAGAACATGTAAGTAACTTACAACTCTTTATCATGGCTTATACTTA